TGAGGGACAAATCTCTGATCTCGCGTTATAACAACCTTAAACAAAAAAAAAATGATGAATATTTCCAAGCTTCATAATTTGATAAATTCATTAATGATTCTGATTAATAATTCTTGATTATTTTGGTACATATGTATGTGCATTTATGCTTAATTTTATAATAAAACGTAAGCTCTCTATTGTTATTTCATTTACTAAATTTGACATATATACAAAAACTATGTATGATTTGTACTTCAAAGTACATACATATACATAACATATATAATCTTACCATTGGATATGTAATTTGTCGGATTACAAGGTACTCTTTTGTAAAAAAATCCGGGTCTTAGGCAGTGCTCTATAATCCGACAAATTCGATAGTCGGACACTGATCTGCATAATGTTTGTCGGATTACCGGAGGTCCACTGTATTACAAATCCTATTCTAAAACTACTTAAGTTTAAAAGTCGACGCATACGTCGAAATCTGTCAGAAAGGTAATAAAGCACTTTCTACTGGTTACTCTACTCCCTCGTTTTGAATCATAGAACTTCCGGATGTAGCCATTTTGAAGAGTTCGTGTAGACTCAAACGCTTCGCATATGGTTTTTGCAAATAAGAACCGCCGTTTCACAAAATTTTGCAGGACGAAGAAGTCTTTTCGCAATATAAATATTTTGTTACTAAATTTTACTAATGGAACTTGTTATAAAAGGCTATTTGTTGAGGAATAAGAAGTACTTTTCTCCACATGACTTCCTCTCTCTGCACAAGGCACAGATAACACCTAGCGTTGAGTACTGCTCACATGTTTGAGGTGTTGCTGCCCCGACTACATTATCCATACTCCAGGGCTGTCCGACTGATCGATGAGTCTTCCCTAACGGACAGGTTCGGGACCCTGATGCTGCCGCGTGATGTGCCTGCTAGGCAGAACCGCCTGACTTTGGCGTCCCATACTAACCGAGTCGAACTTGGTATATCCAGAACTACTTTTGTCCCTAGAGCATCGAGAGTGAAACAATCTACATGAAGAGGCTTTTCCCAGTTTCACTAATCTTAGGTAGTTTAAAAATCGGAATAAGTTTCTTTAAGTTGCAGTCGCGGTGCCCTGGCATTTAGGCTACTGCCTGCGCGGCTGCTCCGGTATAAAAAAATAGAAAAACTTTTTATTATGGCTGGGTTTCAACAGGGGCGTAGCTATCCTAGGGCAAACCGGTGCACTTAATATTAATATTAATAGCTGTTACTTTTACAGGTTTTTTTTGTCATTTCTAACAATATTTTCGACGTACTTGAGAGAAAAGAATAGACGATTTTTTTGAAACAGTCTAATTGATACACAACTATCGAACTTTTAATGCATTTAAAAATGGTTGTGTATTCTTCTTTTTGCAGGATTAGCAGATTGCGCTAAAAAAATAAAAATGGAAGATAAGCGGAAATATCAGTCTGGAGCACATAAACGAAAATTGAAATTAGAAAAAGAGGCAAAATTAAAAAAGCATGCTAAAATAGAAACATTTTTTAAAGCCTCTCAATCTTCTGAAAAAGAACAAGTAACTATCAATATTTCTGAGACACGTTATCAACTTTTATTTCTTGTTCTACCTCTAAAGAACTTTTGCCTTGTACTAAGACTTTTACTTAGCAATGCCATGTTTACTACACCAGGTTCCTCTAATAGCAACATTACTGTATGTAACGATCTTGGATTTTACATGGGAAAAACTCTTACTGAGGAAGATAAAAAGATTATTATTAGTCTTGAACCCAACAGACCTAAAGGTCCATTTCCCAAGGATTCGAACCAAAATGATCGCAGTTTTAGTGAGAGTTATTATTTTTCTACTACAAAATACGGCCCTGTCAATCGTCTTTGGCTGTGCTATTTAACTGTACTAAACTGTATCCATCGAAGAAACAAAGTAAAATCAAACATATACACCCGTATTGCACGTGATCAAGAACTTAACAGTAGGAGACGCTACAGGGCCGTATCAAGCTATTGTGACTGATCTATCAAAAAATGTCGTACAAGATATGTGTTGCTGTAAATTCTATCAAAAGCATAGTAAATTATCAGGAATATACCACGCCTTTCTAATCATATTTCGACATTAGGAATCAGTGCAAAAAATTCTGTATTCACCATTTCAGCAAAATGTTACTAAAACGCACACGAAAAAAACTTGTGGACCATCTCAATTGAAATTGTTCATATTTTATTATTAACTTACATATATACCCAATAATATTTACAAATCAACCTTCTATTCACAATGCAGAGCAAATTTTTTTGAGCAAATAGAAACTACAGACGTAGTAGTAGTACAAAAGTTTATTACAGACTCCATAAAGTTTGTTAGTTTGATTGCTATTAAAATTTACATGAGAAATAGGAAGAATGTCAAAATGGCACTATTATGCTTTGGAACTCCTAAATTAACCCTAATTTTGTGTAATTATAAATTTGGAATTTCCACATTAATAACTAGAAACTTACACTTTGATTGCAGTCTATAATGAACTTACCTGTCTTGCCAAAAAGCCCGTTAAACTGTAAGTCTTAATGGTATCAATCGATTTATATGCTGTATTCCGAGGAGCTTGAATCATCAGAATTGTTGATGTCAATTATAAGGGGTTCAACTTGGGTGTCAATGATATTGTCCATATCCCACATTTTGGTTTCAACCTTCTCTTGGACATGGTCAATACATGTTCTCCATTTTGCTGGCGTAATTCTATCGACAGCAACATCAAACAGTTTTTTAAGGTCAGAAAACTTAAAAGTGCTGTTATTTGACGCCACGTATTGCTTGATGTCGGCCCAAATCAACTCGATAGGATTCAGTTCGCAGTGATAGGGAGGCAGCCTGAGAATCGTTTTATTTTGGTTTTTGGCCATTTCGTCAACAATTTTTAAATCATATTTATACTTATGTCGCTTGACTATATTTATCAGCTCAGCTTTGACCATTGTTTGGTCGAAGTCGATCTTCTTTGAGACAAGCCACTGTTGAATGTCTGCCTTTTTGGTGGCCATTATTGGAATTTTTTCCAATTTTCTGGAGTGGTACGGGGCATTATCCATCACATTAATCGCGTTATCATCAAGTGTCGGCAAAATTTTTTTGAACCAATTTTCAAATGAGTTACCATCCATTTCTTCGTGATAGTCTCCAGTTTTTTTTGGATTCAAATGCCCACAATGCTTCAGGAACAAATCCATCTACGCTACCTATGTGGAAAATGATCAGGCGTTTTCCCTTGCCTGAAAGTAATTAGTTATTTTACTTCTCAGCGAGCGCACTAAATGACGAAATTAAGCAACTTACTCTTTTTAGGTTAGTGTAGAATAGGGTCTTAGATTAGTTTTTGGGTGAAGGAAATACTCAGAAACTTGGATGAGATAGCAAAACTGAGTTCGGAGCTTCCAAATCATTGATTCGATCAGAAAATGAATTATCTGCATCCAAAAAAGTTCATATACTTCGAAACTTACCTGCAGGATTTTTCAATCCCGTCGAAAGGCCATCTAAAAAAGCCTGCCTTGAGGACCTCACAGATCTGTCTACCCAAACCTTTCCCTGCGTATGCCCCGCGTTCACCCATGTTTCGTCTAAATAATAAATTTTTCTTCCTTCAGCGCGGAATTGCCTAATTTTTCTAAGGTATTCTCTCCTCCAGATAACAATTTCCTCCATTTCTATCAATAAACTATTCCTTCCTCTTTTCAAAAATCGAAGGTCTAGTTCTTTCAACAGCTTATGGAACGTAGATCTTTTAAAATTTGGCAGGTCCTCATCATCATTCACTTGCTTCAATATTTTATCTATTGTAGGTATTTCATTCCTGAAGAAAAAGTGATGTACTTTTCTTCTAATGGCACTTTTGTCAAAGTCATCTATTTTTTCGATGATTTTTTTTCTCGCTGGATATGTTTTTGGCTCAGATAGTGAGTGATTTTGTCTATATTCCTTCAAGATTTTGTAAACACTTGATCGACCTACTCCAGAAATTTCAGCAACCTTACATACGATATTTTCTATAGCCAATCCACTATTCTCTTGCATCTGGTTCTTGTAGATATTTAGAATAATTTGTTTTTCACCTGCGCTAAGATGAAGCTTTTTAGCCCTTTTTCTGGGTGACGTTAAGCTGATTTCAACCACTTCATCAGCTGTATCTGTGTCAGACATTTTAGACTAATATTAAATTTCCGCAAGAAAAATCAAGTCAAGACGTGCATAAAACGTTCGCGCTCATAAACGGGTATCCGTAACTGATTACAATCCTGTGCGTGGTGACGAACCATCAACGTGACGCTGAGAGTTCCCTTTACTATGCAGCGTTGCCAGGCTTAATGTCACAATGATCATGTTTTATTGGGAAAATTGTCAGAAATCGCCGAATGTTGAACAGAAACATTACAAAAAGTCTTACCTGGAAATGTGAGGCTACAAATCGATATTCTTATAGGGGGGAAGGGTAGGGAGCTGTTATGGTTCCTATTAACCTTGGTGAAAGTTGGAAACGGTAATATCATATATGGCATACATTCGGTTGAAGGTGTGCGCACGGAAAATAGATTGCGGATAGGATTTTAATAGATAAATCTGCACAAAAAAACACAAAAGGAGATTTTTGTATTTCCCTGAAGAATATCTCAAGGTTATTTCAGATGTACTCATCGAAACTTTATGGAAGGATTATCGAAACCTTATTTTCAATTGCGATAGGGCCACATACCTCGACATCGCATTAATGTGAAAAATAAGACAATAGAAAAAAATTCCCTCACTGATGCTATCTCTTAGGAAAAATTTAACTATAAAGATTGCACAAAAATTTTCTTCACCTTTTTGAGCTTGTTTTCGCATCTCCGCATGCCGTTCATAATTTGCTGCAGATCAAATTGGAATATACCTTTGTGATGCCATTTATTGTTATATAATGTCCTTTACAACAGTTATTGTACGTATTGCACCAACAGATTGATTTGTGATCCATGCGAATGTGATCAACCACTCTGGCGAAAACTCGCCGAGCGTGGCAACCGTGCGACTTTGTCTGGAGGCTCGTCGTTACAAGCCAATCAGGAAGAGGCCGACAGAGCGCCATGGCTACCGATCACGCGTTGATCACGAATCAACCACTGTTTACGATTACTTTGTAGCTTCGTTAGATACACTTTAGATGCAGCCTATTGTGAATCTTGTTGGCTTTTCTCAAAATTGTGCAGTCACTGGAGTACGGGCTTAAGAGATTGGAAACATTTATCATCACGCAGTGAAGAGCACAGTAAAAGCGAAGCTCATATTGAAGCTTGCGCTGTTCACGACCTTTGGAGAAAAAAATCGTGCCATAGACAAGAACCTAGAAGAAGAGGTCAGATTTCAAGCATCCTTCTGGAAAATGGTGTTGTAAAGATTATTTAAAATTACATTACTCCTGGCAAAATGTTCCTTGTCATTTCGGGGGCACCGTGAACGTCAAGATGATTTTAGTGGGAATTTTAAGGCTCAAGTGAAATTATTGTCAGACTATGACGATGTTGTGAAACAGGTGGTGGAAATGCCTTCTGGATCTGTGCGATATCTTAGCCCAACTATTCAAAATGAATTGATAGATTGCCTTTCAAAAAAACTTACTTTTGAGCAATAAATTCCGCAACATTTTTTTCTTTGCTTCTTGATACAATTCAAGATATCACAAAGATAGATCAATTAAGTATAGTCATTCGAACGTGTCACATAATTCGAGATAAAAATCTGCTATCTCAGAAGTTTGAAATCAAAGAAGCTTTTTTTGGTTTTTTCCAGTTAAAAGATCATTCTGCTGGAGGAATGACTCAAGAAGTTTTAAATATACTAAAAAATCTAGATATTCCCATTGAAAAATGTTATGGGCTACGATGGAGTCAGTGTAATGAGTGGGGCTTATAATGGAGTAAATGCTCAAATAAAAAGAGTTCAGGAAAATGCCGAATATGTACATTGTCACAACTTAAATTTAGTAATAAATGATGCAGTAAATTGTTGTAAAGAGGTCTCGCAATGTTTTGCCACTTTGCAAAATATATATTATTTTTTTGGTTTAAGTATTAATATATCGGATCTTTTAGCTTCTTTTACCAGTGAATCCAAAACAACTTTAAAAACATTAAATCCAACTCGTTGGTTAGGAAGGATATTGTCTATTAGTGCTGTCAAACTTCGTTATCTTGATATTATTAAATCTTTAACAGAAATAGAGTTACAGTCTCATAAAAAAGAAGAAAGAGAAGAAGCTTCTTCCATTAACAAACAAATGTGTTGCTTTGAATTTGTATTTATTTCAACAATGTTGTATAAAATCTTTACCCAGGTTAACTTCGCCTCAAAGGTCCTTCAAAAGAAAAATATTGATTTAAGTGAATCTGTGACTGTTTTAGAACAAGTCGAAAAGAACCTTACTGAATTAAGATCTTCTTATGAAATTTTAATGATTGAAGCTACGGAACTGGCTAACAAATGGAATATTCAACCGGAATTCAGGCAAAAACGTCAACCTGAAGTTAAAAAACACTTTGACGAACTCTTAAGTGATTACAGATTTAATAATACTCAAATTTTATTTAAAATAAATGTTTTTAATGTTGTTATGGACCGTGTTCTGATACAGATTTCTAATAGATTTAGGAGCATGAAAAAAATTAATAAATTGTTTGATTTACTTCTTCCAAAAATTATATTAAGTTGTGATGAAACATTCATTAAAAATAAATGTACAGCCATTTATAACAAATAACCTGAAATATAATAATTATTTCAGTATACCAATTTGTTAAATGTTTGTAAAACAGACCTTAAGAATGATCAATCAATTAAGGAATATTTCAATATAATTTTAAGTAAGTATGGAGTTCTTGAAAGCGACTTAAGTGAAGTTTACTTAATGTTCCTTTTATTTTTTACGTTGCCTGTAACTACTGCAACTGTTGAAAGATCATTTAACAAGCTAAAACTTATAGAGAATGAAGAAGCCCAAAACCTTGATATACAGGGTGTCCCAGAAGTCGACGTCAAGCCGAAACCGGGCGATAGGCAAAGTCATAACAGCTATCAGAAAAATATTTAAAAAAATTTTATGTATGTGTTTTGAAAATTATAGGTCTTTGAAAAAAATATAGAAATTTCACACCCTACGGCAGTCTGTCAACTCCTGTTACTACAAATATTAACTTTTTTTGGATTTTATTTTTACAATGTCATGATGAATAATGCATCTTCAAACTGGTGACTCAACCTTACTGCCAACTTTTCTCGTTCAGGAAAAATTGCCACTTATTTCCCAACCAAGTGTTCCAAAGTAAAACTTTGCTCAACTTTAACTGGCTGTACTGGAAAAAATGTACTACGAGAGTTTGGCAAGTAACCTTAAAAGTTGGCGCATTTAATAAGGATTCCAAAATGGTATAACACTTAGAAGATTACTCGTTAAGTTATGCACAATTTTTATTTGAAGAAAAACTGATGAAAATTTTTCAAAATTTCCTAATTAAACAGCGATTATGAAAACGCACAAGGACCCTTAAGGATAACTGTTTGCACAACAGTGGGCGTCAAAATGCTGCTGATGATGATTTACCTTTACAGCAAATGCTCAAACTGTTTTCTTTCAGCCGCAATACACGCTCGACATCTTCTTAAAAAAGATCTTTGCCGTAGCTCAGCTACATTTTGAATCGGCTTGAAATACACTTTTTCTTTTACAATTCCCCAGTAAAAAAAATCTAAAGGATTCAAATCAGGTGATTGGGCTGGCCACGGTATTGTACCAGACCGCCTTATCCATCTGCCTGGAAAGTTTTGATCGAGATACTCTCTCACTGAGAGTGCATAATGCGCTGGGCAGCCATCATGCTGAAACCACATGTCCCTGTAAATACTCAGTGGCACGTCCTCCAATAAATTTTCTAAATGATTTTGCAAAAACCTAAATAAACTTCAGCAGTCAAAGTCTCTGGGAACTCAAACGGACCGATTATTTTACCATTTAAAATTCCTGTGCAATGGTTTATCTTGAAGCGATATTGAGATTTATCTTTTCTCATCAAATGTGGGTTTGCTACGTGCCACTCGTGTAAGTTATGGAGGTTCATGTACCCATCTTTCTTAAATGTGGTCTCATCTGACCATAACATTTTTTCAAAGAACCGTGGATCTTCCCTGTCTTTCTAGCATTGTGCGACAAAAAGCAACTCGGGGCTCATAATCCCGGGGCAGAAGAGCTTGAACACGCTGTGCGTGGTATGGATGGAGCACGTTTTTTTGCAAGATTCTATGGGCTGTACTTTTGGGCACACCTGTTTTTAGTTCTATTGCACGCACTGAAGTACTCGCGTCTTCTTCGACAGCTCCTAGCACCACGTCTTCGTAAGGAAGGAAAGATCTTCCCTCACCGTGTGATTGGTTTGGTAGTTGGCCCTCTGAGAACAGTAAGCGGTGCACATTTGTGAACACTCGATAATCTGGATGACGAGCTGCATTCGGGTACCTCTCACAGTAAAGTCTCGCTGCAGAACTAGCGTTGCATCTGCATTCTCCATAAATGAGGTGCATGTTAGCATATTCTTGTACGGTGTACACGGACATAGCGGCACTGCACAATCACACTATCAAAGATAGTCTAAGGAAAGCAAATGTTGTTTTGAAGAGCAATTAAACAGTCCAAATCCAAATCACAAGCGATCAACAGTCCAGTTCACGAATCCAAAATTAGTAACAGTACGAAATCAACAAGCACGAACTTGTAAAGATGCGCAGTAAACGAAGGAGTACTGATCGGTATCAAAGTGTGCAATAGCAAGTAAGTGATGTGCTTCATCCATACCGCATACAGCGTGTTCAACCTCTCCTGCCCCTGGATTATGAGCCCCGAGTTGCTTTTTGTCGCACAATGTTAGAAAGACACAGGAAAGATCCACAGTTCTCACAAAAATTTTATGGTCGGATGAGACCACATTTAAGAAAGATGGGTACATGAACCTGCATAAATTACACGAGTGGCACGTAGCAAACCCACATTTGATGAGAGAAGATAAATCTCAATATCGCTTCAAGATAAACCATTGGACAGGAATTTTAAATGGTAAAATAATCGGTCCGTTTGAGTTCCCAGAGACTTTGACTGCTGAAGTTTATTTGGATTTTTTGAAAAATCATGTACAAAATTTATTGGTGGACGTGCCACTGAGTATTTACAGTGACATGTGGTTTCAGCATGATCGCTGCCCAGCGCACTATACACTCTCAGTGAGAGAGTATCTCGATCAAAACTTTCCAGGCAGATGGATAAGGCGGTCTGGTACAATACCGTGGCCAGCCCAATCACCTGATTTGAATCCTTTAGATTTTTTTACTGGGGAACTGTAAAAGAAAAAGTGTATTTCAAGCCGATTCAAAATGTAGCTGAGCTACGGCAAAGACTATTGGAAGCAGCTGAGTTTGTTAATAACCGTGGATTCGCTCGTTTAATAACCCGATCTTTTTTAAGAAGATGTCGAGCGTGTATTGCGGCTGAAGGAAAACAGTTTGAGCATTTGCTGTAAAGATAAATCATCATCAGCAGCATTTTGACGCCCACTGTTGTGCAAACAGTTATCCTTAAGGGTCCTTATGCGTTTTCATAATCGCTGTTTAATTAGGAAATTTTGAAAAATTTTCATCAGTTTTTTTTCAAATAAAAATTGTGCATAAGTTAACGAGTAATCTTCTAAGTGTTATACCATTTTGGAATCGTTATTAAATGCGCCAACTTTTAAAGTTACTTGCCAAACTCTCGTAGTACATTTTTTCCAGTACAGCCAGTTAAAGTTGAGCAAAGTTTTACTTTGGAATACTTGGTTGGGAAATAAGTGACAATTTTTCCTGAACGAGAAAAGTTGGCAGTAAGGTTGAGACACCAGTTTGAAGATGCATTATTCATCATTACATTGTAAAAATAAAATCCAAAAAAGTTAATATTTTATTTTTTTAACAGGATTTGACAGACTGCCGTAGGGTGTGAAATTTCTATATCTTTTTCAAAGACCTATAATTTTCAAAACACATACATAAAATTTTTTTAAATATTTTTCTGATAGCTGTTATGACTTTGCCTATCACCCGGTTTCGGCTTGACGTCGACTTCTGGGACACCCTGTAAATGATGTTATCAACGAATTTGCAAATAGAAAAGCAAGAAAAAGAGATTTTTAATTTTATTATTGTTTAATTTTTGACTTTTGTTATTTCATTATTTTAATTTGTGTTACTTTTTGTTTTTATGACAATAAACAATTTTTTTATTATAACATGATATTTTTTATTCTTAAACATACTCATGAGGGTCCCCAAAAAATGTTTGCCCCGGGGCCCCATGACGTCTAGCTACGCCACTGGGTTTCAAAAGGACTAAAATCGTTTCTTATACAATGTGTACTAGAATAAGGTGTCAATCTCTCGGAAACTTTTAGATAACGAAAGAATAAATTCACAAGCTCAGAGCAGACTAATCATGAGAAAAATGGTCTTACTCGTATTCCGATTCTCAAACTTCGAAAAAAATCTAAAACGAGGTCTGAAAATGTATATTCTGTCGTTTTTTTAGTCGCTAATCATGAATCAGTTACAAAAATTACTATATTTTCAAAATTTACTGTAACTCAAAGTGTAGGATATCCTTATACAAAATCACCATATTTCTTGATCTGCATCCTCTGTTGGTGTAGGGTGGTTCGAAATTATAGCAACATAGTCAATTCAGCATAACACTCTATATTTTTCTTTCACCTAAATTATTGTAATGACATCAAGATTAAACTTTTC